ACTGGCTCATCTCCTCCCCGAGACCCCTCTGTATAGGGATCTCCAGTGGCCTACTAATGGGCTTTGAATCTCCACTCCGCACTCCCCCCATCATTCACTATGGTAAGATTTTTTGTTCTGATGATGCCTTACACCTGATCCCTTCGACACCTCGTGGTTGCATAGGCTGGTGTGCTTCTTCCATGTGGGCTTTGTTGCTTCTGAGCTTGATGGCCGCTTGATTACCTTCAAGCCTTTAAGAGAAAGAAAGTCTTTTCAGGAATGCATTGGACATCGGGCTAGCCTGTCACTTGGGTAAATTATGTCTTTGGATTATTACCTATTTAAAAATTTTCCTAATTAATACATGTTTGTTATAAACCTACTAAGATGTGATGTTGAATTTGTTTAGAAAAATACTCAGGGGGCTTTTTGTTATTGTTGAGTTGGTGTGAAAGTGGAGGAGAGGTTTTTCTGTATGATTTTTGACAGACAGTTACTACTGTCTACTTGTAATTGAGTTTATCATGCAGTCTATGTATGATACACATATGAATACCCATACTTAGGGTGTTTTGTATTCCTCTGTTTCTATCTGACGATCTGTTTGAGGAACATCTTTCTTGTGGGACAGCTTTGCTGGCAACAGATTTCTCAATTTTTATCTGAGAAAGTTTTTATTTAACTTTTGCCTTTGAAGATAACTTCACTATATATATAGTTTGAACTTCTCATCCTATAATGCAGATGTTATTGATTGTCTTATATGGTTTCTAAATGAAAGTGCTCAGTCATTCCTATCATATTCTAGCTGTAAACATGTGCTCTGTCAAGCTGATGATGCCCAACTATCAAAAGATATAGCGTCTGGGGTCTTAAAGGCTTGAAGGTAAACAAGTGGCCGTCGAGCTCAGAAGCAACAAAGCCCCCGTGGAAGAAGCACACCAGCCTGTGTGGTCACAAGGTGTTGATGGGATCAGGTATCAGACATCAAAGAACAAAAAAAATCATATCATTGTGAATAAGGGGGAGTGCAGAGTGGGGACCCAAAGCCAATCAGTAGGCAACTGGACATCCCCTTACAGAAGGGTTGCAGGGAGGAGACAAGCTAGTCAGGGTGCAATATAGCAACGATGAAACATACAGCTTTCCTCTAGCTCCTAAATGCTTCCTCTTCCCCCACTATCATTATCCCATTTATACCTTACAAATCTGACTAGACCAGAGGATGTACACTGGTACAGAAGAGAACTGGAAACACAGGGAATCCAGGACAGATAAACCCCTCAAGACCAGTGGTGAAAGTGGTGATGCCAGGAGGGTGGAGGGAAGTTGGGGTAGAAAGGGGGAACCAATCACAAGGATCTACATATAACCCCCTCCATGGGGGATGGACAACAGAGAAGTGGGTTAAGGGAGACGTCGGACAGTGTATAAGACATGACAAAATAACAATAATTTTTTAATAACAATAATTTATAAATTATCAAGGGTTTGTGAGGGAGAGGGGGCAGGGAGGAGGGGGACATGAGGAACTGATGCCAAGGGCTCAAGTAGAAAGCAAATGTTTTGAGAATGATGAGGGAAACAAATGTACAAATGTGCTTGACACAATGGATGTAAGTATGGATTGTGATAAGAGGTGTAAGAGCCCCCAAGAAAATGATTAATAAAAAGAATGAAGAAAATGTTCTTTAAAAAAAATGTGCCCTGTCTTCCTGCTTTGAATTTTTTCTGTTTATCACTGGCTTTCAGTTTAATATTTATGTGTTTACCTGATTCGCATTTTATTATTCTCTTGAATCATATGAGCTTATCTTTGTCATTGAATTTGGAAAGTGTCTATTATTTCTGAAAGTAGTGTTTCCATATACTTGACTACCACCTTTCTAGGACTCGGATTTCATATATGCTATTCTCCTAGGCATTACTTCACAGTGTGCTTGGGCTCTGTCCCACCACCACCACTTTTTCCTTAGCCCCTTTTCTTGTTTCTTCATTAAACAGCAGCTATTGTTGTCTTCAAGTTCTCTGACATTCAAGTTCATAGTAAGAAATATGTTATTTCTTATCTTCATGTCTTATTTATGTTCTTGTTTTGCTGAAAGCCCTTTAGCACATTGAAATGATTATGTAATGTTTTTATGCCAATTTTCCCACTCATTTATAATTCTCTTTATATATACAGATATTTTTTCTTAGCATGGATCCTGTTTTACAGCTTTTATGCATATCTAGTAATTTTTTTTAACAATTGCTACAAATTGTGACTTTTACATTTGGGTGCTGGATCTTGTATGCTTTTAAAGAATATTCAACCTTTTTTTTTTTTTTTTACTGGCAAGAAATAATTATTTCCAGACAGTTTGTTCTTTCAAGGCTTTAAAAAAGCTTTGTTAATGAAGTTCTACCGTAGCCTCTGTTCTAGAGCTAGTTTGGTTGTACTGCTAAGTGATTGTTATAGGATCTATGTTGAATACCTGTGCATTAAGTGAATTCTCCCCATTCTGCCTGGCTAGTGAGAACTTAGGGGATTGCTAGTACTTGAAGAGCTCTTGAAAGTACTATTTTGCAGTTCTTTGATAACCCCCCCACCCCACCCCCGTGTTAGTCCCTCTCTTCCAATGCCCTAGCCCACAAATTATAGCACCATAGGCCTCCTAGCCCAGTTCCAATTATGTTCTCAAGTCAACAGCTTTACCAGACTGTATTTTGGAATTCCCTTCCCTGTACTTGGAGCATGGGAATTACCTCCAAGCAGGAGCTTGGTCAATTATTAGGCTCCCTGTGTTTGTTTCCCTTACTTGGGAACATAGTTCTGTACTGCCTCTTAATAGTTAATGTTTGAAACCAGATGTTTCACGTATTTTGTTCAAGTCCAGACTGCTATTTTCTTAAGGTTGAATGTAGAAGTCACAATTAATTTTCAGAATGATGTAATTTTTTACTGATTTTTTTTTAACAGGTTAATCATGTTTGAGAGTTGCTTTTTAGTTAGTGAGTGTCAAATGCCTGGGGATGGAAAATAGACTGCCCCAGGAGGTCTTAAATCAGCAGGGGTCTTAAATGGCACCACAGTGCCCACTAGCTCTAACACAGGAGGGTTAAAGGCCAAGTTAAGTCAGCCCAAGCCAAAATGAATCCATTTCTTAATGTACAGAGCCCCAGGTAGCTCCATGAATGCTTGTGCTTCAAAGGAAATGCTTTGCTGTTTCTCTGGTCCTGTTGATTCTAGCTGACCAGATTGGAGAGGGTGAGGGGTGATAAACAGAGCAGAAAATACGGGTGGACTCTATAGACCCAGTAAGGCTGAAATGGCAGAAGAGGAGCAGTGTAGATTGGTTGAGGTTGAGATGGGGAGAAAAGAAAGAACAATGGCTGTGTAGGAGGGCAGGTTGGGAAGTATTCTGAGGGTATAAGATGAAGAATTAGACACAGATAAGCCTGGATACGATAGAGGAGAGGTTGAAGTTTAAAAAACACAAAAACAGGAAAGATCATTGCTCCAGAAGGGTGGAATTCAGTAGCATGGTGTTGTAGTGGTAATATTTTATCAAATGCGATTTCATTTAGAAATACTAAAGGCTATAAGCCCTTTAGAGGGCAGTTCAGCATTTCCATTTAAAAGGTATGTAATCTTTGGCTGGTTCCTCGGGGTATTCTGTAGATTTTCCAGCACGTGGGATGACATCAATCAGGTTTTAATTGGTAGAATTGTTTCTGATATCAAAAGATCATCGGATGCTATTACATATTCCATTTGGAATGGGGAAATGAGTTCTGGTATATATCACAAAGAGCAAGGAAACTGCACTGAAAGAAAGATTTTCAAGATATTATCAAATGAATAAACAAGCTAGAACAAAAAACATTTGAGTTTAGTATACTCATGTTTGTTTAAAGGTAGTGGGAAGAAATGTAAATTCACATTTTTTAAATCTACCTATAGAAACTCTGGGAAGATACATGAGAAATAATATCATGTTAGATTCCTGAACCACATAACGGAAAACCATGTTGGTGTTGAGGAATATCAGAGGAAATTAGCAAAATGTGGTGGGAGAGAATAGCCATATTCATGTATTTCAATAATGGTTTTTAAAAGCAGTAGAACATAGACTACAGATGGACCTTCTAAATAATCACATCCCAGGGCAGCACAAGAAAGTACTTTGATGTCTGAGAGGCCTTTGCCACATGGTGGTCTGTCACCAGAGAGAGGTGATTGCATTGTGTATTCTTACCATCTTGTGTCCCTGGGTGGTGCCAACAGTTAACATGCTCAGTCTCCAACTGAAAAGTTGGAGAGGGTGAAGTCCACACAAAGGCACCTTGAAAGAAAAACTATAAAGTCCACACAAAGGCACCTTGAAAGAAAAACTATCAATCTACTTCTCAAACCCCCATTGAGAACCATAATGGAGCACGATTCCACTCTGACCCGTGGGTTGCCGTGACTTGGAATCAGCACAACTGCAACTAGCTTACCTTGCCTCCAGAAAAAGATTTTGACTAGATGGCAAATTACTAAGCTTAATATAATAGGATATATTCTTGAAAAGTTTACTATCTTCTTTCAACTTCTTACATGTGCAATAGGCATTCTGCATGAGATAGGAGGCCTGTTCTTTTTTTAAATTCTGCTCTTCAAAAGCCTCAACATTTATAGCTTCTTTCTAGTATACTCATGTATAAGCTGAGTTTTTCAGCACATTTTGAATGTAGTTTTTATGGTAAAATTAGGTGCCTCAGCTGATATTCTGGTTGGCTTATACTCGAATCATATACGGACCTTTCCATCTTTACTTTTCAGACAAGATAAGTGGGTGATTTCTTTGAAAGACTGTAGGAAAGCGAGCACCTTTAAAAATAGTTTTTTAAAGGTTCTCTTTTTTAATGTTCTTGCATTGCTACATTAAATTTGGGGTTTTTAATATGCATTTTCCATGATTAGAGAGGACAGTGGGGAGTGGATTGGTGGTGGGGCATCACAGACCACTGTGATTTCAAACTCTTGGCAGGTACATCTCCATTCATGGATGCATTAACAGCCAGTGGAACAACCAACATACAGACATCTGTTACAGGAGTGACAGCCGGGAAAAGGAAATTTATTGACGACAGAAGAGACCAGCCTTTTGACAAGCGGTTGCGTTTCAGTGTGAGGCAAACAGAAAGTGCCTACAGATACAGAGATATTGTCGTCAGGAAGCAGGATGGTTTCACCCACATCTTGTTATCAACAAAATCATCAGAGAATAATTCACTAAATCCAGAGGTGAGATACCCTTCTTTGGGGTGGTTTGTGTTAATATTTGGCCAAGCCCTGACTGCCATTGGCTTGCATACTGCTTGTCTGAGTTGGCACTCTTCCTTGTGCTCTTTCCAAATCTCCGTCAGCGCTACTTCACCCTATTTTCCAGAAGGCAGGTACCCGAGGTGGCATTTGCCGGGTGTGTGACCAGGATGAGGTTGGGACAGTATGCCATCTTCATCTTCATGGGTCAGCATGGTCCCTGCTTCAGGCTGTGATGGGAAATGTGTGCCTTTATCCTTTCACCTCCCAAGCCAGGCACTCTTCAGCCTGGAGGATGTGAGGGGTCCCCCCAACATCACATAGAAAGTAGGCATGTGCTTCTCTGTAGTTTCATCAGAGTCTTGACAGGTTCTTTGTTCAGGCAAATGATAGTATCCTAGTCCCTGGCCCCTTCAGCATACTTCATCATTGACTCTAGTCTTCAGCTACTCTTCAGCATTGTAGCAGCACAGTACTACAGTGACTTCACACATGCACTGCTGGTTGTGCAATCAGCTCCAGTGATTTGAGAGAAGGTAGGGTGGGGGAGGGGGAAAGGTCTGAAAACTTATTCTATGGAGTATTTGCAATCCATAGTATTTCAGAATTTTAAGTTCTAATAATTGTGTATTTTCCACTTGTGAACAGCTAGGTCCCTCCACCCCTCCACCCCCCTACCCCCCCAAACAAGGAAACCAAACCTACACTGTGTCTGGCCAGAATCAAATTTAGCAAGCAAGCTCAGGGCTGGTCCCCGGTACCTTTTTGAACTGCACCATCTCTTTGCCTCCCTCCTGAGTTGGTTATTTTTAAATGCTTCATACAGATCATCATTTTAAAATTGTCCTGTGCCCTTCTAAAACTACCCCTCCTTGGTCATATGCTTATATTTAATGTATTTATGCCCTAAACTATTTTGATTTATGCCCTAAGTGTGGTGGACTGGTTAAAAAAAAATTAAAAATAGGAGCCGAACTAGTTTTCCTTGAACTGGTTGAAAGTGCCACCTGCTGTCCAAACTGTGGAATTGTTAAGTGGATATCACAAGTAACTTATGCTATGTCTTAAGAAACTCAAAAACTATTGAATATTAAGGTAACTTAGACTCACATGTCTTTCAAATTATACTCTATTTATGTAATTATACTTTGCCCCTCATGTTCCCAATCTCTGGCTACCCAAAAAGAAAAAGAAAGAATTTGCTAATGATATTAAAGGTAAAGAACACTATCACTCCATAAATGTATTTTCATGGATCCAGATTATCCAATAATAAAATACTTACAGATCCTAAATTTAAAATATTCTTTACCACTTTAACTTCTGGTGGCTTTCAGGTGATGAAGGAGGTCCAGAGTGCACTGAACACAGCTGCTGCTGACGACAGCAAGCTGGTGCTGCTCAGTGCTGTGGGCAGCGTCTTCTGTTGCGGTCTGGACTTTATTTATTTTATACGGCGCTTAACAGATGATAGAAAAAGAGAAAGCACTAAGATGGCAGAAGCTATCAGGTATGTAAAATCAGTGTTGATGTGGGGTGTGTGGGGTTTCATGTTCCCCAAGTAGGGCAGGCATAATAGGCCTAGCAAGCCTTGGGGTAGGAGTTGGGGTATCTATCTTCCACCAAGAGAGCCCTAGTAGCAAGATTAACGATATCGCCTGTCTTTCCCATGGTCATGGCGTAAAATCCTATTTGCCTTGGGCTAATAACTGCCTACACAAAGATACAGATTTATTGTTAAGATTGCTCAGTGAATGTTGTAATGATTATAATACACAACATTGTATAATGAGAGATCCTATTGTCTATGCTATGCATTTATTCTGTCTTCAACCCTTAGAGTCCCCCTTCCAAAAAATACAAGAAGGCTTCCAAAAGCTTATAGAAAAATTCCACTATCCTTTTTTTTACCATTTTTCAATGAATTTTTGAAGCCTCTTTGTATAATAACATTTGCATAATTCAAGTTGGTTAGTCTTTATGACATGCTAGCTCTATAATAACATCACATGAAAAAATATTTTTAATATAAGCTGTGCATATTCTTGCCCAAGTTGCCTTAACTTTCAGCCACTCAGAAAGCTAGATAATAAAGACTATAAAATGAAGGTTCTACTTTTATTATACCTCACAAGATATCCATTATTAATATGTATGTCTTCCTCAGCCTTTTCCTTAAATATTTTCATATATGTGTGTATACATATATGCAAGCTTATTACTTATTTTGTTAATAAATGCAACTATTATTTCACAATTTACATTTTTACTTAACTTAAGACTTTTGAGCATTTTTATTTTTGCTATTAGATTCACCTTTTTTCAGTTCTATCACAACAGACCAAAAACTTTCTTGGGGGGGAAAAACACAACTCTCTTGAGAACTGGTTAACTCCCTGTAAGCATACTCTGCCTAATTTTCAGAGATGAGTTTCATTTAAAGTGAATGAAACCTAGTCACCAACCAAAAAGACCGTTTCTTTTTTGTTTGTTTGTTTGTTTGTTTTTCAAAAGGACCATTTCATTCTCCACTCACCTTCCTAAATCTTCTTATTTTGACCCCAAAGAATCCTTTGTTTCTGTAACTTGAAAGATAGACTTGCAAAATGGCAGTAATGTTGGTTGAACTTCTTCAGCATCGCCAGGTACTTGGAGAATTGAAATTAAGCTTCTTTAGTGGTAAATGGTAGGAGCAGGGGCGGTTCTGTATGTTTTGATGGGTCTGGATGACGTAGGCATATGCATTTTGACAGATCATTTCACCAACACTGTCAGTTTATTGAACTGTTGTGGCTCGAATGTTGCTGTCGTACTGCAAGCTGTGTCACTGACATTTTAAATACCAACAGGTTCCCCCAAAGGGAACAGGTTCCAATGGAACTTCTAGGCTAAGACAGACAATGAAGAAGGAATAAGCTGTCCATTTATGAGGAAGATCCACTCAAAATCTTATGAATAACGAAGAACCATTGTCAGATATAGTACCAGAAAATGAGCACCCTAGTTTGGAATGCCCTGAAAATTACAGCTGGCAAGAGCTGCCTCCTCAACGTAGAGTCGACCATAGTGACAAAAAGACCTTCTTTTGCTAATGGAGCATGACCCAAAATGAGAAGAAGCAGCTGTAAACATCCATTGATAATCAGAACATGAATGTACTAAGTATGACAGGGAAATTTGATGACTATCAAAAAAGAAATGGAATACATAAACGTAGATATCTTAGGCATTAGTGAGCTGATGCTGATATTGGCCATACTGAACCAGAGATTAATATCATATTCTATGCTAGGAATGACAAATTCAAGAGCAATGGTGCTGGATTCATCTTCAAAATAGAACATTTCAAGATCTAGCTTGAAGGAAAATATTGTCTGTGATAGGACATCTCCCTCTATAAGGAAGTTCAATTTATACAACTAGTAGTCACATTTACACACCAGCCATTAAAGCTGATGATAAATTAAACTTGCTGACAAAGAATATTGAAAGTACCTTGGGAAGAAGTCCAGCCAGAATGCTCTTTAGAAGCAAGGATGGAAAGACTTGGTCTCATATACATTGGACATGTCAAGAGAGCAGACCCTGGAAAAGGACATTATGCATAGTAGAATAGAGGGCAGCAGAAAAGAGGAAGGCGATGGACAAGATGGATTGCCACAGTGGCTGCATCAATTGTCTCAAACATAAGAATAATTGTGAGGATGATGGCAAAGAACCAGGCATTGTGTCACTCTGTTGTTTATAGGGTCGCTGTGTGGCCGAACCAACTGAAAGCCACCTAGCCACCCACCAACAACTTCCATCTGAAATTGATCAAGCATGTTATCAAAATGCATCGATAATTACTGGCTATAGGAAAGCGAATGTTGGAAAATATGACCTTGGTGATAAGAACAGAGCTGGAGGGCCCATGATAGAATTTTTGTAAGACCAATAGCTTCTTCCTTGCAAATGCTTTGTTCCGCAACATAAACAGACCTCACCAGATGGAATCGAATTGACTACATCTTCAGGAAGAAATGACAGAGAAGCTTAATATTCATAGCCAAAATAAAGCCAGCAGAAAATATGGGATGATGCAGGGAGCATTAAAAACAATGGAAGGAATGCACAAAATCACGGTTCCAAAAAGAACTAGTTGATATTCAACAATTTGAAGAGGTAGGATATGATCAAGCACCAGTGATACTGAATGAAGAAGTCCAAGCTACTCTCTGAAAGAAATTGCCAAAAAACAAGGCTCTAAAAATTGGAATGGGTGCAAATATGAATCTCTTCCAGTAAATTGGCCAGATAGCTGCCTTCCAATTTTTTGACATCAATGAGTCAGTGCTTCTTCAGCTTGTTGAAACTTTTCAATGAATGTTTTTTCAAAGAAAAGTGACCCAACAGTATATAAATATTAAAGTAGTATTAAAAATAACAAATGCATGTAAAATTTTGCTGAAGACAATTCAACAGCAACAGTTGCAGCAGCACATTAACAAAGAGCTTCCAGACATTCTATCTGAAGTCAGAAGAGGACATGAGTGATATCATTGTTGATGTCAAATAGATCTTGATTGAAAGCTGAGAATACCAGAAAAATGATTATTTGTGTTTTAATGACTATGAAAAGCCACTCAACTATGTATAGAACATGACAAACTATGGATTATATTGAGAAGAATGTAAATTTCAGAACACGTAATTGTGTTCATGCAGAACTTGTTCGTGGATTAAGAAGCAGTTATCTGTGCAGAAAAGTGGATTGCTGCATGGTTTAACATCAGAAAAGCTATGCATCAGGATTGTATCCTTTCATAATACTTTTTCAATCTGTATGCTGAGCAAATAATCCAAGCTGAAATGTGTGTACTAAAATGTTGGATCAGGATTGAAGAAAGGCTAATTATTGTACCTGTGATGTGCAGATGCACAACTTTGCTTGCTGAAGGAGGATTTGAAGCACTTGCTGATGAAGATCAAGGACTGCAACATTCAAAATGGATTGCAACTCAATATGAAAAACCAAGATTCCCACCACTGAACCAATAGGAACCATCGTGATAAATGGAGAGAACAAAATTAAATTGTCAAGGATTTCATCTTGCTTGGATCTGCCATCAGTGCTCCTGGAAACATCAGTCAAGAAATGAAAAAATATATTGAACTAGGCTAAACTACTACACCAAAGACCTCCTTAAAGTGTTGAAGAATAAGGATGTCACTTTGAAGACTAAGCTGCACCTTACCCAAGCCATGGTATTTTTAATCGCCTCATATGCATGTGAAAATTGGGAAATGAATGAGGAAGATTGCAAAAGCATTGATGCACATGAGTTACAGTATTGGAGAATAATATTGAAAGTACTATGGCCTGATGGAAGAACAAAGAAATCTATCTTGGAAGAAGGATAGCCAGACTGTTTCCTAGAAACAAAGATGATAAGACTTTGCCTCATGTCCTCAGACAAGTTATCAAGAAAGACCACACCCTGGAAAAGCTTAGCACATGCTTGGTAAAGTAGAAAGTCGGTGAAAATGAGAAATGCCATCAAGGAGGCAGATTGGCACAGTGACTGCAAAAATAGATTCAAACACGACAATGACTGTTTGGGTGGCGTGGGACTGGCTAGTGCTTTTTTCTGTTGTACATAGGATTGCTGTGAGTTGAAGCACTTGGACACCTAACAACAACAACAAAGTAATTTGAAGTCTGGTAGACTCTCTAGATGGCACCTTTGTGGTATTTGAAACTTGATGAGTATATTAATCCCATGAAAGATTAGCTGCACATCTAAATAATTTATAAACTTTTCTAATTCTTAACTCATCATCCTTTCAGAATGAATTACATAAATTTAATTTTCATTTCTCAAACACAAGCCATCTAACTTCATGTAGTGATATTTTCTATTATATCTCACTGGACTTATACATAAAGTTGTGCTTTAGAGTAAATTTGCTATAATAAGAAAGTAGAATTTATTAGCCACTGTTTCCTAAGTCTTGGCTCAGCTTTCCCTAGCTGATTTTCCCCAGTTGGATGCCCCCCTTTTTAAACAGCTTTATTGGCATATAAATCACATATAATACAATTCAATAATTCAATCACATCAAGAAGAGTTAGAATCATTACCACCACCAGTTTTAGAACATTTTCTTCATTCTCTTTTTTAAATAAATCATTTTATTGGGGTATCTTACAGCTCTTATAACAATCCATACATCAATTGTATCAAGCACATTTGTACTTACGTTGCCATCATTTTAAAAACATTTTCTTTTTACTTGGGCCCTTGATATCAACCCTCCCCCCCCTCCTCCTCTTGTGAACCCTTGGTAAATTATAAACTATTATTTTCATATCTTATACCATCCACTGTCCCCCTTCACCCACGTTTCTGTTGTTCCTCCCCCTCACACTCCCTCGTGGTGTCACTACTCCCATTATTGTGACTGAGGGGTTGATCTGGGATCTCACTTCTGTTTCTTAACCCTGGTTTTGTCTATTCCTATATTGTT